AAAAAAAAAAAAAAAAAAGAAGTAAGCATAGTGCCATGCCAGTGAGTGCAGTTAGTAAATGATGCACATTCAGGGTGCTCCGTGGTCCAGCAGTCTGCACTTACACGGAGGAGAGGTGCTAATGGCATAGGCGTGACCAGAGCCAGCCATTGCACCTCTAAAACACAGCCCACGCTGGCCATATCATCACAGCCGTTTGTGCAACTGCGATTCATGAAACAAAAAGTTCTAAAACCTTAAATTCTGCAAAATACCTGCTTCAAAACCAAGCTAATGCTTTTGAAAAGAGCTTTGTGGTCAAACTTGGGCTCAGTGTTACTTCATAACTTGCTGAAAGCTCAGTTTTCTCTTAGTATAAAGTGTACTAGAATGGAAAGGGTATTACTCTGAAACAAATATGTCAGCAAATAATTCATCAAATGAGTGCTTATATAATAGTCTTTCTCTTGCTGATGAAATGCAGTTATACCATTGAAAGTACAGCAATAGTTACATCAGTATTGCATAAACATGTTGTTTGTATTATATGCTGTGCTTTTAGACGACCAGAATGTATGTTTTGACTTCTTGAGGATCTTACCTAACATTATATAATAAATATCTTGGCTGAGTGTGTGTCTCCTTTCTATAATCCCAGCTACTCAAGAGATGGGAGCTGGGAGAATCTTGGATCAGGGCCAGCAAGCCAAAAAGTTAGCAAGACCCCATCTCAGTCAGTAACTGGTGCGTATGTGTCATCCCAGCTTTATGGGAAGCATAAATAGGAGGCTCTCTGTCCAGGCTGCCCCGGGCAAAAATTTCAACAATAACTAAAGCAAAAAGGGCATGGCCCAGTGTCTTACATACATCTGTGTGAACTTTGTCATTGAAATTTTTATTGCTGTGTAATAATCCATTGAGTTACAACTTCTAATAACTGGACATTTAGGCTATTTCCCTTAACTTACTATTGCATATAAGAATACAAAGAAGCATTGTTGGATATTTGCCTTTGGTTTCCATGTGCAAAGTATTTATTAAGAATTAAATTACAACTGAAATATCCAGATGAGAGTTTTAACTTTTTTTTCTACTGCTGAGGATTGAACCTAGGGTCTGACATATGCAAGGCAAGCACTCCACCTCGCTTCACCTCAAGCCCACTTTTAACATTTTTATAGCTCTTACTATGTGTGCTACCAGATCACTTTATAACATCAGCGTACATCAAGAACAGTCACTTGAATCCATTATAGCACTGAAATTTTATTAAAACATATTTTTGAAAATGATAACCATTTAAAATAGATTCATTTGAGTATCTTTTAACAAATCATGATGAATTGAAGCAATTGAATATAGTTAATTATTTATGAATGATTTTCCTCTTAAGAATTTCTGCTGAAAGGAATGTCATGCCAAGATAGATTTTAGGTCAGCATCTCACTCAGGTTACCACAGGCTAAATAGAAAATATGATTTTCATTTTAATACAGAAGATAGTTATTGATAGACCTTGTCTCTGATTCTAATTTAAACAGCTGTTTTACTAAAACTGCTTACAGAGACTGGGACAGAACGTGAGGAAGAATAAGGAAAACACAAAGAGACCTGATGCTTGCGTTTGTATTTAACGATGTGAGCTATCCTACAAATTGGCAGGAAAGATTTCTTTCTCTAGATTACTTAGCATAATAACCTGTAAAGGTCATGTCACACCTAGGGGCATTTCTGCTGTCCCATTTCAAATTTTAGAAGGCTTGATGGTAGTGCACGGCCAGGACCAAGTCGTGGTCAGCCTGAGATCCTGGTCCCAGTTCATTCCAGGTCGATACTTTGGTTCTTTTTCCTATGGGCACAATTACTTTTGTGCATGAATCAGATCACAAGAGATTCAAATGTTCAAAACAGACTTAACCTGTGTGATCTTACAAATAATGTTAAAATAGTTTTTAACTGGAGTCATGGTGTTGCACATTGTATTCAGGAGGTGAAGTCAGGAGGATCATGAGTTCAAGGACAGCCTGGTCTACATAGTGAGACTCTATCTCAAAAACAGTAAAAGGCTAATTTGGATTTAGAATCACCCTGAGGACAAATGCATTTTCCAGGTTAGATATGGGAAGTCTGTGCTCTAGAATAGTCTGAGGAAACCTGGCCAGCCTGGAAGTGATTTCTGGGTAAAAGAAGTAACTTGAAGCTTACCTAGGTTATTTGGGTTTACTGTTCCCTAAAGTTTGTTTGTTTGTTTGTTTGTTTGAGGTAGGGTCTCACTGTTTGCCCAGACTGGCCTTAAACTTGCTATGTAGCCCAGGCTGGCCTTTAACTCATGATTTTCCTGCCTCCACCTCCCATGTGCTGGGATTATGGGTGTGCATCACCATGCCAGGCACCATTGTCTAAGTTCTTCAGCATCCTGATAACCAAACTATCTTCTGATGTTAGAGCATCATCCATCTCAGTGTCTTTTTGTCAAAAGCCTTACCAAAACTGTTTCTTAACTTAGGCAAAGCAGTACCTAAATGTCATAGTTCCATTTTTAAAATGTACTAAGTGAGGGAATACTTTATTCTGCATCTTTATGTCTAGCAACATAATTGCAGCTTAAATGTTTCTTTTTGTTCTTTCCTAGTAAGTGGTAATATATTGTCAGATCTGAAGTACAAATTGTTTGGACATCTAATACAAAAAACTTGTAGCTTCTTTGAAATAAACTGTGATGACTAAGAGGAAGAATATTACTTATTTGCCATTCTTTCCCTCTAGGAACATTTCATGGAAGTGATCAGAAACCAGGAGTTTGTGCTACTGCCAGCCAGCGAAATCGCAAAGCTTTTGGCCAGCGATGACATGAACATTCCTAGTGAGGAGACGATACTGAATGCGCTTCTCACTTGGGTCCGGCACGATCTGGAACAGAGACGGAGGGATCTCAGTAAGCTCTTGGCTTATATTAGGCTACCTCTTCTTGCACCACAGGTAATTAATAGGAGCCTGTTACAGGACTTTTTGCCTGGCCTGCCAATTTTTACACGTGTTCCTATAAATGTATAGGTGAAAAATAATAAGCTAACACAATTCTGCTGTTTTCAATCCAGAGGTTCTGGCTACCTAAATTGCATCAATTCAATAACATCCTTGGTTTTGAGTTAGCAATTTTATTCCACTCAGCTATAAACCTAGCCTCCCAATTACAGGAAAATTAGTAATAAAAGAAACACTGGACTCTAAGAACCAGATAATTTAAATTAATTCCCTTCCGCATATTTATTAAGTCTCCACTAACTACTGGATTCTGACCTGGCATATTCACACACCTCAGTTTCTTTACCTGTCAAGTAGAGGCAACATCCTTTTTGACTGTCTCACAGGTTTATTTGAAGGTCAGAAATGTGCTTAGTGAAACACAATGCTATAAATAATATTATTTAAAAATTAAGAGTGATCTAGTTGATGTACTCAAGGTATTCAGTCACCGTGTTTACCTGTGTAGTTTCCTTTTTGTAATTTTCACTGGAATCTACAGATAGTTCCCTACACTTTGTGCTGCCTGTCTCAAGGCCTTTGAAGGCCTTGAATAGAGAGAGATGCTTTGAAAACAGAGAAAGAGCTTTTACTATTAAAAGCTATATTTTCTTTTCTTTTTTGTCTTAATTTAAAATGCCATAAATGTTACCTTATTTGTATTAATCTTGGAGATAACATATTATTGCTTCTGTGAGCAGATTACTGTTTGCATGCTACCTTAACAAAGACAAAAATCAATGGTGATGTTAATAAGAAAGGCCTCCCTTTGTAGAAGTGGAACATTGTACAGATGCACAGGCGTGATACTGCATGAACTGCTGGCAGTTCAGGAAAAATAATAAAATAAAATGTTTCTCTTGAAATCAGACTTAAAGAAGTGAGTTATGTTTTTATGCTACCTAGCAAATTTTTCTTATTCTTTTCTGGATGAAAAATAAAATCTGAAAAATCCTATTAGAAATTTTAAAAAAGAGTTCGTGATTAAGTAACATGAGAATTTATTTTAGTTCTGTGGTTTCAAATATTTATATTTGCTAGATTTTCATGACTTTCACAGAGCTTTTAAATCCCCATTATTTATCTGGGCTCCCCATATCCATCAGTTCTTAGAGTTGAAAGTCCAAACCAAATAAAGTAACAGAACAGAAAAAAGTAAAACCCTATGTTCAAAATCACAAGGTGATTTCATATTTCCCATCCTCTGTACTAGTTTTATTCGGCTTTGCTACTTGGTTAACACTGGAGAATTCATGAGAGCCAGAGGTGGGATTTGAACCCAAGTACAGGCCTGTACCTTTTCCACGAAAACCATTCTGCCTGTTGAGTGTGTAAAATTGCTGACCGTGGGGAGGTGAAGGAGGAAATAAACTTAAAAGCTAAGCTTGCTTACTGGTATTATATGAGATGAAGCCTGTGATAGATGGATGAAAGGGGGCAGTGTCAAGAGATTAGGCTAGAGAGGGAAAGGGACCAGTCATTAAGAACCTCTAGTCATGCCAAGGAGTTTGGATTTTATCCTTAGCAATGAGGAAGCACTGAAAGAATTTTATAACAGGAATGGTGTAACTATTATTTTATTTTGGAAAGACTACTGTAACTACATTGCAGAGAATGTATCAGAAGGGTCAAAACTAGAAACCCATTGGAGTTCAGCCAAGTGAAGTAGGCACTCATGGGCAGTGGAGCTAGAGAGACGTTACCAAGCTCGAGAGCTGTTGTCTAGAAGATAAGTTGACATGATTTAATGACCAACTGAATGGTGAAGGGATCCCAGAATGACACTGACTTGTGCATCTAGGTTAGTGAAGGTGCTGTCATTTGAGACAAGGAACTTGGGATGAGGAGCTGATTTGGGGAGTGGGGAAGAAAGCAGAA